GATTCAGAGACTGTTGAAGTGATAATCTCACTTTTAACAGCAGTAGCTTCTTCTGCCGGTGTAGAAAGAATATTTTTTTCCTTTGGACTAATTCATTCCAAATTGAGAAATCGTTTGGGACCTGAAAAAGCAGGAAAGCTTGTTTTTCTTTTCCAGATTCTGAACAAACAGGAAAATGAAGGTGAAGACGACTGAGTTAGCTGCAGAAGCCAGTATTTTAAGTTTCTCATGTTGACCTGGCTACATAACCGATTTAATTTTTTTAAAAAAAAATTTAACAGTTGTAATTAAAAACAATTTTAACAAAACAAACCTGATTTTAAAAAACTTGAATGTTTAACTAAATTCAAAAATCCATATGCTTGTTTTGTTAAAATCCTTAAATCAAACTCTAAATTCTCAAGAAGCAGCATTTTTCTTATTTTCCCTGTCTGTAAATTTTGATGACTATTGATGGAAATACTTTTGTTGGTTTGTGTGTGTACAATGAAAATGACATTTACCAACAAAAATTGAATTCTTCCAAATCTATATATATATATTAGTAGCTGGACTTTATTCTGTTTGCACAAAACAAATGTGATTAAGTTATGATCCCTTGTACCTAAGCTATCACGGATATTTAGTTCTGTGATCAATTCTTTTTTTATTTGTCAAGATGATGTCTAATACAGAATTGCCCTGTGTTGAGTTAGGAAACTATCACCTATAATATTTAGAAATTCTAAGGAAGTTTTAGTACTGGCAGCATGAGACCTCCTGCATGTCACTTAGGCTATGTCTACACTACTACTTATGTTGGTATAACTTATATCGCTCAGTGAGGTGGTTTATTCAAACCCCTCCCTCCCCGACTCACATAAGTTACGCCGACATAAGCGCTGGTGTGGACAGCACTACGCTGATGGGAGAGCTTCTCCCACCGACATAGATACCGCTACTTGTTGGGGGTGGATTAATTATGTCAATGGGAGAGCTCTCTCCCGTCAACATAGAGTGGCTACACTAGAGATCTTATGGCAGTGCAGCTGCATCAGTACAGCTCCACCACTATAAGCTTATGTCGACCTAATTATGTCACTGTGCACACTACAGCCTTGTCCAGCCAATGTAAATGCCCTTCTACACGGACATAGTAAATCCACCTCCACGAGAGGCACAGAGCTCACGTTGGTGTAGTTAGGGTGACACAGTGTGTGGACACTGCATTACTTACGTCGGCCATTGGCTGTCTTGTCAAATTCATGGCTCCATGCTGCCCCCAGCTCCCCATTCCCTATGCTCATGCCTGGAGGCTCCCTGATCAGGGAGTTAAGAAGCCTGGGTGACTGTCCCCCTGCCATTCCCTGCTGGGAGTGGAGAGCTGAGTGTCCAGGGAGCAGCTGGTCTCCCTGCAGGGAGCTGTGCAGAGCTGAGAGCCCCGGCTCTTAGCCCCCCACTGTGCCCCTCTTCAGTCGGTTGAAGTGCTCCTGGTGAGGATGCACACCACTGACAGGAGGGAAGTGTGGACATCAGCCACGGGCTGTAAGTCGAACTAACATAGCTCAACTTAGGGCTGTAGTGTAGACATGCCCTTAGAAACAGGTAGAGTTATTTTTGACAAAGTGCCCCTGCCTCTCTCCTTTATCCCCACTCAAACCTTCCTGAATATGTTATAATAATTGATTTTAACATTCTAAACATGACTCATCCCACCAGTTTACAATACTACCAATTATATCAAATTTATGCTCATAAATGGGCAATTCCAATGATTAGCGTAGGTTTCTAGAATTGGCACATAATCAATTAAAGAATTTCTCTGTTTCATAGCCTTTGGTGTATTGATTCATTTTGTTCTTAACATCATGATTTGGTGCTAAATGAGTGCTTATTTTTCCCTCTTTTCACACACTTCCTCCCAGACTACTGTAGCCAGTCTGTGTCCCTGAGACGACTGGTTCCTGTTCTACTGAAATGCAGGCCATACAAACTGTACAGCCCCTTCTCCCTGTGGAAGGTGGACTAATACTCCACAAAGCCAAGTCTCTCTACCTTACGCCACTTACCTATTACGTGATACACTTTCTTTGCTCATAGAGAAGGAATGATCTTCGAGAAGATCTGCAGGACATTCTCCTCCTTCCCTGAAGTCATCTAGAATCTGTGAGATACCCTGCAATGCAGTGTCATTACTGCTGATATGCACCATCACCGGTGGATCCATCCCCTTTGACTTCAGAAGCCTATCAAATCTTAGGGCAGGTCTACACTACGAGACCTAAGTTATGCAACTTAATAATATAGCTGGAGTTGACGTAGCTTAGGTCGACTTATTCCAGTGTCTACACCATGCTGGGTTGACAGGAGAAACTCTGATTTCTGGTGGAGTACCGGAATCGATGAGCACGATCTGTGGTCGATTTAGCGGGTCTTCAATCCCCCGGTGGATTGATTGCTGCAGCGTCAATTCATCGTAAGTGTAGACATGCCCTTAGAGTGATGATTCATAGCTTGATTCAGGGAAGACAGCACACCATTCTGTTGTCCATCTGTTCTTTGCAGAACATTCTTTCCATTCTTGTTAATATGGAATCCCCAACAAGAAGCGCCTGTCTTCCTTGGACAGTTGAAGATCTTTGAGGCAAGTAATCAAATTGAAAATAGTTTTTTTTAAACTAATCTCTATTAGTTATAATCTTTGCAGTTACTTGCAACAATACGTGAGAAATTCAGGAAGAAGTGTGATTTTTTTTCAAGTTGGTGATCCTTTATCAGAGTACAGGTCATTTAATCTAATGGTAGAGTATCATTTTCTGATGGCTTTTGCTTTTAAATGATTAGGTTTAACAGGAGCAGATAAGTGGTGTACATTTTTCAGGGTGCTATACAAACATTAAATGGTCTAGAATAAATGCACTGTTTGTCGAAATACTGTAGAACCAGTGTCCAATGCTCCCCAAGGCCCAAGTGTTATGAAGTTATGCTGTGAGAGGTATTTTCTCTTTTGATGGTATGGGGACTCCTTCATTGCTTCTGCTCAGTAGTGCTGCCTGGTGGTACACAGGCCACTCTGTTTAGCTGCTCATTAATGTCTCTGCCTGGACTGTCACTTAACTGAAAGCCATCTAATTATTACAGCGTTTTCTGTATTACAAGAAAGAAAGTTAGTGTTCCCCTTTGCTAGGGTTTTTTTCCCCTTATGGACAACATAATGCTAAAAACTGGTTTAGGCCCTCTCCTTCCTGAAAATACACAGGGTGTTGAATGAGGGTCCAGATGGCATGTTAATTATAAACATGAAGTGTGTGTGTGTCTGTCTTTTTTAAAAAAGAGTGAAAGAAGAATTGGCTAGACCACTCCCAAGCCTCTCATTCACTTGGGGGATGGGGGGAAGATTTATTCATTGAGGCCTGTCCAAAATCTCACTCTTGCAGGGGAGGATAGACTCAGGCTGTCAGGCCCACCCCAAGTCTCCCTCATAGGGGAGATGGAGGGCTCCTTCAGGAAGAGCTGCCCAAATCTCACTCATTGCAGGGGAGACCTCTTTCAGTCAGACCCTCCCCACGTCTCACCCACTGGTGGTAGGAGGGAGACTTCCTCAGGCAGTTTCTGAGTCAGGCAGGGGAGGTTATGTCTGCGGGTGGGGGAGAGAGGAGTGTTGCTCTGTATGCTCCAGGAGCATCTCCATGTCTCATGACTTCCACCCAGCAGCTGGAAAGCCCTCTGCCCCCTTAGTTCCCCTCCCCCAGCAGATGAAAAGCCCTGTCCTGCCCCATAACTGTTTCCAGCATAAACTAGCCCGTCCTGGTCTAGCAGAGTTGGTGCTGCTGGGGGAACAGGGAGAAGGGGAGTGGCTGAAGCCTTGTGGGGGCTGGGACAAGGCTTGATGTGTGCCAGCCCCTGGCAAACCCTCTTGGACTCCTGCCTCAGCTAAATCCGATTTGCTATTGTGCTACTGCTAAGTGACTCCCCTCTCCATGGCTCCAGCCATTGGGTAGTTTCATCAGCAGCTGGGCTATGACAGATGAAGGGCTCAAAAGGGGCTCGGCTGCATTTCATGCAGTGGAAGGTCCCTCAGCACTTGGCTTAGGGTTACCAACTGCTCAGCATTTGACCAGCTTGGCCATTTTTTTTATGGATTTGCCAGTTGCCACAATAATAATTTAATCTGCTGGGTTTTTTATGTGGGTCTAAAGAGTTGCATTATCATCACAATACACCAGGATATCTAATGTTAAAAGTTTATGTATCCAGCTAAAGATGCAGCAGTGTTCCCATTTCCACACTTTAAGTGACAACAGATCAAAACTATTGAAATTCAGTAGCTGTCTGCCCACCAACATGCAAATGCACGCGCGCATATGTGAGAGGATTTGAGTCACGCGAGCGTGAGGAGATGTGCAATGTTATCAATCTTATCTATATGTGTTATCTCTCCATAGGTGGCTGTTGAAGGGGGCGTTGCGGTGTAGCCTTGTGGTTGAGGTTGTGACAGGCTTGCCTTGTGGGGCGGGGGTTAGGGTTGCCAGGTGTCTAATTGAAAAGGGACCCTGGCAGCTCTGGTCAGCACTGTTGACCAGGCCCTAGAAACTCCGGTCCGAGGCGCAGCAGGGCTCAGGCAGGCTTCCTGCCTGCCCTGGCTTTGCGCGGCTCCCAGAAGCAGCCGGCATGTCCGGCTCCTAGGTGCAGGAAAGACCAGGAGGTCTCCATGCGCTGCCCCCGCCTGAGCAGCGGCTCACACTACATTTCAAAGGTGGTAACCCTACCCTCTTCATGGGTCTGGCTCCAGCTCTCCGGCCCCCTCTGCCCTGTACTCTCTTCCTTCAGGGGTCTGGCTCGCTCTGCCCTTCGTGTGACTGCCAGGGAGTAGCGCCTGCCCCACGGCGGCTCAGGGCTCGAGGTAACCGCCAGATGTTCGGCCGCAGGAGGCTTCACTTAACGGAGTCCCCCACCAGGGGCCGCTGTACACGTGTCCCAGCGCTGCTAGGGAGGGTAAAGTGCTATTTCTCCTCCCCCGCCCCGGCGCAGGTTCCCTCCAGCTCCCGCCACCGGGGCGGCTCATGTTCCAACCCCGCGCTGGCGCCACGCGGGGCAGGGAACGCTCTCACCCCCCTTGCGCGGGGCAGGGAACGTTGGAGTCCGTTGGTCACTCGTGGGCCCCCAGGTTGGGGTTACTGTCACGCGCGGGTTCGGCCCGTGGTGACGTCACCGGTCGCGCCCTAATCTCACTTAGTCGGCGTTTCCCGCCCGCGTGCAGCAGTTTGAGCTCAGCCCAGTGGCTCTACCCAGTCGGTTAGTGACCAGCAAGAGGAGCGGCGGTAGTGAGCTCTGCTGCTGGGAGCTCCCGCTAGCGACGCCTCTTACGCCCCGCCCTGCCCCATGTTCGGACCTGATAAGCAGTCCGGGCAGCCGAAGCTGGACGGCGGTGGCAGGTTTGGGAATATGGCGTCCGTGGGGGAATTTAACTCGTTCAGCGCCAGCATCCCGGCCACCAAGGTGGAGCTGTCTGTGTCCTGCAGGTAAGCGAGCGGGGTTAGACGGTGCGAGGCACCCGCGGGTGCCGCCTTGCGTGGCGAGTCCGGTGTGAAAGCCCCGTCTGGTGCCCTGGGAGGATTGGGGAGGGGGGGTCCGACGTGTCTGATCCAGCCCCCTTGTGGTTTCTCGGGCTGGGGTTGTGCGCTCCACTCCCGCTGTGATGAGCGGTGTGGGCGGAGGGTCCCTGCCCTCTGCGGGGTGGGGTGGGTAGGACGGGGACTTGGGGAGCAGGCGGAGTGAAATCCCTAACGCTGGGGACCGCACAAAGGAGAGTTGGTTTCGGTTCCCTTTCGCAAGCTCAGTCTGGAGACACTTGTCTCATCCGTTTCTTCTGGGAATCTTCCAGCTGGGAGAAGTTCGTAAATCCTCATGCAGAGGGGTGGGTCAGACACCAAAATCTGGTAACAGGCTCGTTCCCTTCCTGGGAATCTCCGATTGGCTCTGGTGTTCTGGGCAGCGCAGGGAGTGATGGTAAATCCGTAGAGAAATAGTAGATGGGGGATTCCCCGTACCAAAACGGTATGGCAACCTGGGCCACTGCCTCAACTTATTTCCTCATGGGAGGGCTGCGTGTGAGGCAGGCATCTTTTTTTAGATCTGTTCCAAACCTCTCACCGGAGGAGGGGGGGAGAGAGAGAGAGACTCGAGGTGGGTTTCTGCGGTCAAGGAGTATTTCCTCAGTCAGGCTGGCACTTATCCTCAGACCTCTCCCCAAGTCTCATGAGATGCGGAGAGGAGGGACAACCCCTGTCAAAACATTGTTTAAAGGCGCCTTCTGAAACTGTTTCCAAACCTTAACAGTCCAGCCATACACTCCGTCCATCCTTGACTATGAAGTTAACGGTAACTAACAAAAACCTAACTAATGATATTTTACTTGCTCATCAGAATTTACTCGGCCTGGGTGCTTGTGGGCAAGTAGAATGTTCTAAGTTTGGGAAAGATTTCCCACCCCCACAAAAGATGAAGAATTTTTGCTTTGTGTGCAATGAGACCCTCTACCTAGTGTTTAGAAATCTCCTTAAAACTGCCCAATCGACTGTAGATAAGCAGCCGCCATAGCTGGTGTATTTGGCAGCTTTAATTGTTAGTGTTGCTTCCTGTTGGGAAATGAAACAGTTTGCTGAGCCGTTGCCAGTGACATACTGTAGTACTAAAATGTCACAGGCTGTATCCTCTCTCTGTTGCTCCAGAGGTGCTGGGGTTACCACGGCCACTCCTTCAGCAGTTTTGAAAACAGAACAGCTGCTCCTGCAACTCCCTTCCCCAAAGTAAACCTCGTATCTGTTTAAGGGGAACATTTTGAATAAGGATAAATGGAATGAGAAGCACTATATTCCTCAAAAAGAAAAGGAGTACTTGTGGCACCTTAGAGACTAACCAATTTCAAGTCCTCCTTTTCTTTTTGCGAATACAGACTAACACGGCTGTTGCTCTGAAACCTGTCACTATATTCCTCGATTTCCTGATAGCTTTTCATCTGCCCAGCCAAGCACTCCCCGCCCCCCAGCAAAACGTGCTTGTTTATTGTTAGGTTGTCCACCTCCTCCACCAATACTTTTGTTTAAGTTGCCTCTTGTCTTAATATAAAATTACAAGGTGTCTTGGACAGGAATGACCTTCTTGTTAATTTTTTGTACAGCACTGTATAAATTGATTAGGTTCCCTAGCCACTGTCTGTAATACAAATAATAAAAAAGGCTGACGTCCTCCACTCTCTGTGTAGAAGAGGGATGAACTTATTTAATGGGGGTTGGTTTTAAGACTCTGTAAAAGTTCTTCCTTTTGGGATGAAGTTTTTTGTATATTGAAATTTTCAAAGTTTGTGACGCCTCAGAATACTGAATTTCTAGAAGTCTCCACAGAGTTTCTAAATAGCACCCAAAGGGAAACTGGACACCACACAAGGCATATTATTGTTTAGAGAAAAACAGGCGCTAGGATTCAGGAGTTTTAGTTTTAGGGTTTGGTTTTGTAAGTAAATGCTGTGATATTATCTGACATTTTGTGGTATTTTATACTTTTTGACTCAGTTTTGTTTGTAATGAGAGAACACCTCTTCAATTCAGATTGCTTGGTTTACTTTTTTATATTTTATTTCAGATTTTCAGTACTAAACTTGGCAATAAATAGAACAGTACTGTTATGAAACTTGTGTTGAAGAAAATAGTACTGATGTAAAATAGTATATCCAAATCTAGCTTAGAGAGAGATACTATTTTTTTTAAATAATCAGTTCAAGAAGTTATTTAAATACTATAACTCACTTAATACGATTGGCTAAAATACTGGGTGTTCATGTCTGTGTACATGCTGTAGCTAGACAGAGGAAAACAAAGCATTCCATGGGTTCATGCAACAGAAAGAAAAACAAGGTTGTTCAAACAAAACTGGCTTCTCATTTGACTGTTAACTCCTCCTAGCTCCTCCTCTTCATTCCTGTGTTATGTCTGTCTTGTCAAATGTTAATGTCTAAATATATGGGAATTCCCTAAGGGAATTTCCTTTATAATGCAAGTGGTGAACTGCACTTTTTTTTTTGATTGGCAGCAGAAACATGTATTAATATCAAAATGGAAAATGAATGACTTTAGGAAAGACACTAATGAATAACACATGATTATGACTCATCTGCGTACACATTTATTGGCTAAAATCTCAAAAGAAATAGCATTCTAATAAAAATATGCAATATGGACAGAAAAATAAACTATGCCAGTTACAGCAATAAATGCTTCAATCGTTCAATAATTAGCAATTACATTTGTTTTTAGAAAATTTCTGCCTTCATTTATAGTGTAGTACAATATCTTAAATGATGTAATTATTTCATTATGAGCCATAGAACCAGTATTAGCACTAGGTGATGATACTGATTATCAGCTAATAAAGCATTAGTTTGTGCTTGTCTGTTCTTAAATTCCAGCTACATTTTCCACTTCCTTTTTGAATGTCTATAGGAACCATAGAACACTAGTCCATTTATCATTTGCTGACTGGTGTAACTGGGCTGTCAGTGGAGGCAATGTGGTCTACTAGTTACATTAATAGACAGGGAGTGAAGCAACATGGGTTCTATTCCTGACTTGACCAATAATTCACTCTGTGACCTGTGCAAGTCACTTCACTACTACTTGGTGCTTCAGTTTCCCCATCAGTAAATTGGAGTTAATAATAAAAACTATGTTCACACATAAATGAAACCTCTGACTTCAAGAGATTTAAAAAATGAGTTAGACCACTCGAGAAACCATGTGACTTCCCCCCAAAGAGATTATAAAAAAAAGATAGTGCCCTTCTTTTCCCCCCCCACACCCCAATTTTGTCTTGATTTTTGAATTCCCTCTGCCTATCACATGCATGTGTGACAATTGGTATTGCCCACTGTCCCAAATTTATTTGGCAAGGTGACTTTTGGCCCTTGATGCAGGAATAAGTTTGCCAGGTGTCCAGTTTTCAAGTGGAACACCAGGTCGAAAAGGGACCATGGCAGCTTCGGTCAGCACCGCTAACTAGGCTGTTAAAGTCCAGTTGGTGTGGGGCTGGCAGGCTCCCTACCAGGTTTGCACAGCTCCAAGGAAGCTGCCGGCATGTCCCTTTGCCCCCTAGATGTAGGGGTGAGCACGAGGGTTCCACGCGCTGCCCCCACCCTGAGTGCCGGCTCCGCAGCTCCCATTGGCCGGGAACCTCCACCTAGGAGCTGGAGGAACATGCCAGCAGCTTCCTGGGAGCAGCGTGAAGGCTAGACACCTAACCTGCCTCAGCCTGGTGAAAATGAGTGAGTGAAAGTGCGGGAGAGCGAGGGTGGGGGGATGGAGAGAGCGGGGGGCAGAGCCTTGGGGAAGGGGCAGGGCAAGGGTGTTCTGTTTTGTATGATTAGAAAGTTGGAGGAGCTCTAACCCCTACATCTGTCTGTCCCCTGTCCAGCGATTAATCCTGCTCCTCCTTCCCCCAGTTCCTGTGTCAGTTCTGCTCATTTGTAGCCCCAGGACCCATACGTTCTGCCCTCTAGCCTCTCCATCAATTCAATGTTCCACCCCATCAGTTCTGCCCTCTACCTCATTTCTGCTCTTCCTGGGGTTTTTCACTTCTCTCTCCTAGGCCTAGGAGTGGGGACTACAGCAGGGTCCCCTTCTCCCCCATTCCAGGCTGGGGCAATGGGGAGGATTAGCTCTAGTGCTTCTTCACCCCTTTATCCTGTTCCCAAGGTGCATGTTGCAGTGAGTGGAGAGAGGACCAGAGGAGCCATCCCCATTGTTCCAGGAGGGGATGAGGGACGGGAGCCGACCTGAGCTTCTGAGCTCTTTCCTTCCCTTCGACACCCAACACCGCCCCCCTCTTTCCCCCCCGCTCCTGCACACTGAAGCCATTTTCAACTGGTGGAAAGAGGGAGTGGGGGGTGAGAGCTCTTCCTGCAGCAGCTCCGACGGGTTGCTCTGCCCCATGAACTGAACTTCTTTCCCCCGAAGCAGCACTCAAAAAAAGTCAGATGGCTGGAGTGTCTTGCTTCATCATAAGACTTGCTACATCCCTGGCCAAATCCAGACACCTGTGGATAAAATGGCTCATCTCTTGGCATTGATTTAGTATTGATTTTACAGTTATTTCTTTTTTTGTCTACAATGTTTTGTCTGATTTGTATGGCTATAAAATGTGAGCATAGGCATAGTCTTACAATTGTTGGAGAAGCAAGAAGTCAGAATATTTTTCATTATTATTATTGATTTGCATTATCATAGTGCCTAGCCTAGGAGCCCTCTGTGTTTGTGAAGTGCCTAGAAAAACAGGGTCTTGGTCCATGACATTTATTTAATGTCAGATAATTAAGGAAAGGGCCAGAGTTTCTGTGAACTTGATAGAGCACAGTATGTCTGTGGGTTTCCAATCCAGGGAGATTCTAGTAGTCTGCAGGGGGATCTATCCAGGAAGCACCAAAATAATTGTGCTTTTAAGTTTAGATACTGACTTCCAAAGTTTTAAATAC